CACCAGTCATCAATGCTGAGTGTGTGGACATTCCTACCCATTCACCAACCAGCCAGATTACATAGAACCATAGAAAGTTACAGTGCAGAAGGTGACCATTCGGTCCATCGTGTCTATGACGGCTCTTTCACGAGCAATCCTTTCGGGCCCATTTACCTGTCCTAATTCATGACCAAATTCATTATATTTGTTCCAAATTGATGGTCAATAGAATTGAAAAGAAGCCAGGCTTTATAGCCGTTTGCCACTTGTGACTTATCGGCCACTATATTTAAGAGCTACTTTGTGATTAATAAGATGTATTTCCTTCCCCCCCCACCGTTGAACTCCATCTCCGTGACATGAACTGAAAGCAGTCTCTCAGCGTCAGTGACCCCAATGATCCAAAGGTGACCTTGCGATCCTCTTGTCCTACCGCCGTTCCCATTAATCACTACTTAATGACCCAGACTTAACAAAAAGCTTCACAGAGAATGCTAATAGCTTATTCTGTTAAAAACCTCAAAATAGGCTGATATGTCAAGTTTGTTTCAACAGCACAGGCCATCACATGATAAGATCAAAGCATTAAAGATTTCTCTCTCTCTCTCCTCCAGTCCACGATGTGCACATTATACACAGTGAGAAAGCTCCCTTTGTTGATAACTCACCCACCCTGTGTTTATATTGAGCTGCCATTGGAGATGGCGGTTGATAAGATAAAACAAGCTCTTGCCTGCCTATTCTCAGGTTGATGTTAAAGATCCTGTGACACTATTTGAAAAGACAAGTTTCTCCTGGTGTTCGCCCACAAAATACACAGTCACTAAACTTTACAGTGTATCCCGTGAGGTGCTTTGAGACGTCCTCTCAACCTGAAAGGTGCTATGACAAATGTAAGGATGATTATTATAATTATTATTATAGGAACCCAGTTGTTAGTCAATTCATGGATTGCATTGTCTGCTGTAACGATCCCATCAAAATAAATAGGTAATAATAATTTAGTCACTTAATCCACAACTGTTTGTGGGACACTGCTGTGCGCAATTGGCTGCCACGTTTCACTCAAAAAAACAGTCACTACACTTTACAGTATATTCCGTGAAGTACTCTGAGATGTCTCGAAGACACGACCAGGCGCTATATCAAATGCAAGGATAATTATTATTATAATTATTATAGTAATGCAGGTTTTCTCTTCTATCTAAATGTACTCACGTCAGTCACACACTCTTGCCTCCTGGTGTAGAGCAGAGCTGTGAAGGTCAGAGTTTGTCTCAGTCCAGTATAATGCAGTGTGATCCGAAGCTTTAAGGCAGTTACACAAGTCGGTCAGATAACGTCAAAACTGAGTTAACACCCGCCTCAGAGACGACTGTTCCTGGACTGTAATTAATGAAGCCGCTGGAAGAGTCACTGCATCAAGTACAACTTGCTCCTTTCACTCCCTCCACCTGGACCCCTCCTTCCCCATCTTCAGGTTGCACTTGAAACCTTCCTCTTCGACTGTGCTTACGGTCACCTCCCCCCTCCCCCCGGCCCGGCATTGTGCTCCGCCACCATCAAGCGCTCTGGGATACTACCCTGTGTAGGGGCGCTGTGTAAATACAAGCTGCTGTTGTTGTGGTGGTGCTGAGCTTCCTCTGCCTATATAAAAAGGAACCAATTTATAATAATCCTTGGATTTTTATACGGCGCCTCGACACGTCTCAAAGCTCCTCACAGAATATACTGTAAAATGGATTGACGGTGTATTTTGTGGGTGAAACACGGCAGCCAATTGTGCACAGCAGCGTCCCACAAACAGTCATGGATTGAGTGACCAAATTTGTTTTATGAAGGGAGATTACCGCCTCCAGAAAGCGATCCACCAATCAACTAACAACCGGATTTCCACTTACTGTAACAGTGTGTGGCATAAGGAAAGATGCCCAACGTTTCGCTCTGCCCGGAAATCAAACCCAGATCCTCTCACTTGCGAGGCGAGTGCTCTAACCACTGAGCTGCAGGACTGCACTGAAGTCTTCTACTCAAAGCCAATTCCCCTGCTCCTTCCCTAAATCCTTCTCTAATGCCCACCTTCACATTGCCTTTCACCCCCCCCCAAGCCACACACACAGTGAGAGTTTTGTGTGTGCTGGAAGCTTTCTATGATAATATTTTGCTTCCCACCTAATTGGCAGCACAGCTGTAAGCTATGAGCTGAGAGTTGCACATTGTGTTCATTCAGTTTCCTATCCAAAGCTCAACTCCTCTAATGCCGCATTACACTATGGCTTTGCTCCCGGCAGCCTGCGGTAGCAAACAGATGCATTTCCAGGTGCTAGATTTAAGCAGACAAGTCTTGGGAGTCAAATCCGTTGCCTCCACGAGGCGCAGGAGATCTGACTTCAAGTTTACACACTAAATATCATTTGCTAAGTTTCTGTGCAAAATTGGCTGCCGCGTTTCGCCCACAAAACACAGTCAATTCACTTGACAGTATAATCTATGAAGCACTTTGAGACGTCTCGAAGACCTGATAAAATCAGAGTGCTGGATCAGAGAATTTCTGTGAAGCAATTTGGGTTACAAATTGAACGGTTGCCTTCAAAATAATTCATTGTTCTCTGAATACCAGGCTATGTAAAAGCCAGCACAATAATATAGTAAACCCATGACAATCTGGATGGACCAGAAAGAGAGAGTGTGGGGGAAGGAGGGAGAGGGAAGGATTAAGAAAAATCATTTACTTGAAACACAGAAGTTACCATTTTGAACAAGATGAGATTTAAGACGTATTCTCTTGCATTAGAGATAGAGGCTAATACTTTTTTTGAGTGATTGCACTGTCAAAAAAAACAACACACATATTGACATTCATTCTTCTAATCCAACTACAAATAGCACCACAGCCTTTCCTTCTAACTCAGACGAAAGGTTGGACGCAAGCCAATTGCATCTGACATTCGGAAGCTAAAGTATAATGCTCTTCTTTGAACTACTAGACTCACTCCAAGGGATTACCTCGTTCAGGACCTGCAGACAGTTATCCCTTGAGTGATGCTACAGAGAGGAGTTCTCTTTTATTAGCTGCAGACAAATATTGATGGCTTTTGAGAGCCATCCTGATCAGATCGAGGGCTTAGAGAACAGGCAAGGCACAATGCCCCAAAGCCAATGACTGAGCTCAGAGCAAAGCTGCAGCGCAGGTACAGAAACCGCAGCACGACTCACAATGTCAGTATCCGAAAGCACCTCAATCTGCGTCAAATTGAAAAGATGAGAATTTGAGTTTTGGTTCAGTTCAGATGGTACAATATTAATCCCCCGCCCATCACACCAGCCCTTGCCAAGCTGCACTGGCTCCCAGTCACTGAAAGGACAGATTTCAAGATCCTCTCACTCCAACCAGCTTATCCGCCACTCCATCACCCGCTGTCTCTGCTCAGCTGGCTCTGACCTGCTGTTTTTCCCTTCCCCTCCACTTCAGCCATTACACCCTGAAACTCTGTCCCTCAATCCCTCTGCCTTGCCCCCCCACCCCCCATTCCATTTTAAATCCTGCCTAAAGACCTTCCTTTTTAATTGTGCTTACGGTCACTTCCCCCCCTCCCTCTCCACCTGGCTTGGGGTCAGACTCCACCATGGTGAAGTGCCCCAGGAGGTTATCCCGCGTGGGGAGCGCTTTGTAAATGCAAGTTGTTGTTCCCTGTAATATACACCCTCAGAGACATCCCTACTGCCACTTTCCATCTGCAAACACTGAGCCATGGGCTGGGAAGAGCCAACAGCATGGACTATTCTTGGCAATGCTGTAATAAGGAGTGGGGAGATTGGAGCACGTGAGGTGGGATAAACCAGACGAATGGCGCTTTCTGTTGTTGGGAAGCAATGACAGGAACGAGAAAATTGAATCCCAAGTCCATTCCCTTCCACACCAGCAGTGGAGAGTCAGCAAAATGATCAACATTACAATGAAACTCGCAAGTCTTGCTTAAACACTGAGGTTGTTTCAGCGCCTTGGGACGTCCTCCTGCTGTGAAAGGTCGGCACAAATGTAATTTGTTGTTCTTGTTTTAACCTCCAACATCTCAAACTGTACCAGCAAACATCGAGGTGAGATCACAGCTTAAACATCATTTACTTAGCTCCGACAAACTCAAACCTTCTCATAGTCGTGCACAAAGCGAGCCTTATTGCAGCTACTGATATAAGAACAAGAATTGCTAGGCAAAAGAAAACCAAGGTCCATCTAGTTCACCTTCCATCATCCTGGCAGTCACTTGACATGTCGTGTCCCCAAACTATGTACTGTATTTCCAGATATTGTTTTCCAGCAGAAATCCATTTAATTTATTCTTGAAACAAACAACACTTTTTGCTTCCACCGTCCGTCTCCCTCGGGAGCCTGCTCAATAAGTTTACTACTCGCTCACTGAAAGGTTTCCTCAGATTTGTTCTGAATTTACCCCCTTCAATCGCAGGCCGTGTCCTCTGGTTCTACTGTTCAGTACGAGATAAAGCAGCTTATCATGGCATACAGCTTGATGTGCACAGCTTGCTTGCCTTCTGAACATGCAGCGATTTTGATGTGCTTCATTGATTAAAATACAAGCTACACACAGCTCGCTCCTTAACGTGGATGTTACATGCTTGTACACAAAGTCCTGTTACCCCTGGTTACAAAATAGTGACACAGGACTACAAAGGAGCTGAAACAAGCTGTCAGAGATTCATTTTGCCTCCTCACTGCATCCATGTTATGGAAAATGTGGCACCAAACATGGCGACTATCATTATTATCCGTGATAACAATGACTCTCTCTCACCCACACACACACTCACACCGATCCTCAGGACGTGTAAATACAGTTGAACACTTGTACTGAATACAACAGAGTAACTTCTAAATACACATATAATTATTTTTCCACATGTTCTGGTTGTTGGTCAGTGCACTGTAGAGAGTAAACATGGGGTAACAGGACTTTGTGGACACTTTAGGTGCTGGTTTCAGTCAATGTGTAGCCACCTACCTGCGAGTAGGAAGGTGATGAGACAAGTCTCCTTTGGCATGTAGAGCTTCAGGCGAGACCCACTGAAGACGTACTCAACCACAGCCTCTGACCGGCCGGCTCGCTGCAGGAATGGTAGGAACTGTTTGGCTTTCTGTGTATCCTGTCAGAGCAAAGAGAGGGAACGTTACTAGTTACTGGGATGAGAGTTCATCAGCACCTTGGATAGAGACAGGAACCAGAGGCTAGAAAAATGACTATTTGCTGTGTTGATCAAAGATCAAGACACAACAATAATAATCCTTGCATTTGACATAGCGCTTGATCAACTAGTTGAGACGTCTCAAAGCGCTTCACAGGATACACTGTAAAGTGAATTGACTATATATTTTGTAGGCGAAATGTGGCAGCCAACTGCGCACAGCAGCGTCCCCACAAACAGCTGTGAATTGAGTGGCCCAATTATTATTTATTTATGTTTGAAGGGATTATTACCCCCGAAAAGCGATCCGCCAATTGATAAACAACCGGGTTTCTACTTACTTCTGGGTAAACAGAGTCGTGGAGAGTAAGGAAACTTGCCCAAGGAATTGAACCCAGGTTCTCTCGCTTGCGAGGCGAGTGCTCTAACCACTAAATTACAAGATCTCTGCAGAACACCAAGTTGAGCAGAAGATGCCTCCAATTACTGGAATTTGACTCAAGTAGTGTTTGACAAATGTCATCCTTCTTCATGCAGTTCTTAAGGTTTCAACAAACCCAGAAGTACATAACCCATCCCAGGCTGTTTTTTTTTATTCCTTATTTATCACATACAACACCAAAACAAAGAGGCTCAATACTGAGATCCGGATACAAGACAGAGAGAGACAGTCAATGTACAAAGAAATACAACGAAAAATAAGCCACACAGAAATACTAGAATGCTTGAATGAAAATGAGAATCCAGAATTGAGAAACTGGAATCCAGAACAAGGGGCGTCATCTTAAAGTTAGAGCCATTTAGCATTGAAATCAGGAGGTTGTTTTTTACACGCACAAAAGGTAGTGGAAATATGGAACTCTCTCCCTCCCCTAAAACCCTATGGATGTTGGATCCATTCATATTTTCAAGACTGAGCTGGGTAGATATTTGTTAGGTCAGGTTATCAAGGGATATGGGGCAAGGGCGAGTAATTGGAGTTGAGGTACAGATCAGCATGATCTAATGGAATGGCGAAACAGGCTTGAGGGGCTGAATGGCCTCTTCCTGTTTTTAGGAAAATGTTTACTTGATACAATCACAAACCAAAGGGATTAGAGGGATATTGGAACAGGGATTAAGAGGGGGAATAGATTTTTTGTTCTGCTGCTCCATGCCAATTGTTCTCCTTGGTGCTCCCTATCGCCTCTGAACTGCTACGTTTCAAAACATTCACCCTCTGTGATAGGCATGATATAAATTCAAGTTGCTGTACATATTTATTGTACAAGTAGTAATTACATCCAGGGATTTCAGCTGCAAGACTCATCTAATGGGCTGCACTCTGGGGATATGATACAGACTTGAATAGGGACTTTTCAAGTCATCCTACATTGCGAGAAGGCTCTGTTACTGAAATCCTTAATTGCTTAGCTAATGTGTAAAAAATTACTAACTAGTTTTCCTTATAAAAAGCGTTAATATTAATAGTACAATAATCCTTGCATTTGATATAGTGTTATTGAGACGTCTTAAAGCACTTCACAGAATATAATGTAAAATGTAGTGACTGTATACTTTGTGGGCAAAATGCGGCAGCCAATTGCGCACAGCAGTGTCCCACAAAGTCGTGGATTTTTTTTTAAAAAAAGGGATTATTACCCCTAGAAAGTGATCCAATAGTTGACTAACAACTGGGTTCCTACTTACTCCTGGGTAAAAAGAGGCGTGTCGAGTAAGGAAACTTGCTTAAGGTATCACCCTGACCGGGAATCAAACCCAGGTCCTCTTGCTCGCGAGGCGAGTGCTCTAACTGCTGTGAACTTAAATTAATTCAACAAAAAGAAATTCTAACCCTCCCCACACACATACACACACACAGTTTTATTGCAATCAACAACAACAGAATTACTGCACAAACCAAGCATATGGTTTAGGTAGACGAGGGCACATGCGAATTGGTTACAAGGAGAGGAACAGATTTTCACTGCTCAGATGCCATGATCAAGGCTTGTCTGCCAGGTAATACAATCCTCCAATTCTGCTAAAGGGAACTGGTTAAGAAGCACTTGTATTTGTATATAGCCTAGAACGCTGCACAGTAATTACTGTTGAGAGTACTTTGTGGGCAAACACAGGAGTCATTGAAGTCTCACAAACAGCCCCGAGATGAATTTGACCAGTAAATCTCACCCGGAGGAGGATTGTTGGCCAGGACACCAGGAGAAATACCATGGGATCTTTAAAGCCCACTTGGACAGTTCAGCTAAACATCTCATCCGAAGTGCAGTAACTCTAACTGCCCTCAGTACTTGCACTCCGGTGTCAGCCTGGGCTATAAGCTCTAGTCCCAATATGGGGGTTTAAACAACAACAAGTTACATTTACACAGCACCTTTCACACCAGGAGACGTCCCAAGGCGCTGGACAGTCAGGAATTTGGACCCGAGTTGAGGGTTGGGATCAGGAGGGCAGGGAGGGTAGCGGTGGGAGGGTGGCCGAAGAGCAAGAGGGGAGAAATGTACGCGGCTTGAAAAGACAGAGCGCATTAGGCTGACTGCAGAGTCATTCTCTTCTCCCCACGGGCCTTGATTAAGCAGAGAGGAGGAGAGAGAACGAAGAGAGAAGAAAAACACATTGATCAGTGATTATGCATGGCAGTCAGGATGTGCTTGGCTTGGAGGCAATGAAGAATTGCAAGACAAATCCCCAGCTTCATTAATCACCAATTATCACACACCTTTAGGTTCAGTCTCAAGTTATTGTGGCTTTCAACCCCAACCCCCACCCAAAAAGCACATCACTGGGTTGTAGCTTTGTGAATTCTAACAATGTCAGTTACATAACCCATAGTCATCTTGACTTAGGGCCAATTGCATATAAATTAAAACCAGTGTAGAATATGTGTACATAGAATAAAAATGGTCAAAAAATGTTTCATGCATGCAAGGTTTTTGTCCACAAAATATACAGCCAATTCACATATTCTGTGAAGTGCTTTGAGACGTCTCAAAGACATGATAGGGTGATATATCAAATGCAATGATTATTAAGGGTTATGGACAAATAGCAGAAAAGTGGGATTAATTTAAGAAAAAAGGAAAGTAAGACAGCACTGGCGCAAACATAATGGGCTAAATGGCCTCTTCAATGCTGAACTTTTCTATAGCTTTCGCTTAACAACAACAACAAAATTACATTTGTACAGCGTCAAGGCACTGGACAGACAGTTACGGACCTGAGCTGGGGGTCCGGGTTGGGGAGGATGGAGGGCATGGGGGGAAGCAGGGAGATCGAATGCATGGTCGAAGAGGAGGGACTTGAGGTGCGTCTTGAAGGTGGCGAGGGAGGGGGCGAGACAGAGGGACTGTGGGATGGAGTTCCAGAGGAGAGGGTGGGGACCGAGTGGCAGAAGGCCTGCCCACCGCTCTCTACTCTCACCCCATTCCCTGCTCTCTCTCTCTCTCTCCCCATCGTGTCTGTGCTGGCGCTCGCTCTCCCTCTGAAGCTCTCCAGTTGGACTCCATTTTCAGGATGAGAATGTGAAGGGATTTGAATGACGGTCAGGGCAAGGATCTTGAGGCCATTTTGCTAGGCTTACAATGTTGATGAATATAAATGGCACCAATATCTTTTACGAAACGTATTTCCACAGCAGGAGTGGAAGCAGTTAGTGGCTCAATGTGACTATCAGGCACCAATGCTGGGACACTTGCAGGCAGCTATCGAGGGCAAAGCATGGGATTATAAAGGAGTGAGCCATTCCCAGAACAATTTCAAGCCAGTAATCTTAAACGAGAACAAAATCAATATCTTCAACTGAGAGACACTCAAAGCGGTGTGAAAGAAAATGATCAGCATATCAATAACTGGAGAGTCCTAGCTCTGTGACTTTTTTTAATATAAACCGGAGAGCACTGGATATAAAAGCACGTCACCACCGGGACTCTCCTGAGCAATAATTCTCTAGATTAATCAGGTGTCTGCCTGACTCATGTTTGTACCACTCTCTTTTCTGAGTCATTGTCAACTCCACTTTGAGACTTTTCAGGTCACAATCTATCTGACATTCCTCTACAGTGTTGGGGGTGTCCGCTGGCATTGTTTTTTTTGAAGGGATTATTACCCCCGGAAAAACGAACCACCAATTGACTAACACCCGGGTTCCTACTTACTGTACTGCTAAGTAAACAGATGTGTGGAGTAAGGAAACTTGCCGAAGTTTTCGCCCTGCCCTGGAATTGGGTCCTCTCGCTTGCGAGGCGAGTGCTCCAACCACCACAGGACTCTACATAACAATACAAGCCACGATATTCAGATCACTCCTCTGCGTGAAAAATATTTCTCTCCGCCCCCCCCCCACCCACCAAACTCCCATTTCTGATCACAGATTGGAGTGCAGAACAATGGTAATCACTGTAACTCAATCTCACCCCCATCAAAGCCATCCAAATGAACTGGTCACACACAGAGCCCAGCGACTCAGCCTAGGAGACGAGGAACAGTGGGTGCGATTGTTATCTTAGGATGGTATCCTGTGATGGGAGTGTTGAGTAAACCGATTCATTTGAGCGAGTAAATTAAATCGCTTTGCGACACCTGAGACAACTGTAGAATTCTATTCCAGCAGACAGTGTCTGGGTGAGAGATGCTGGTGAGAGCACTGTGACACTGCAGCAGATACACGTGAGACATGAAAGTGAGCAGCAGAAGGCCTCAGGCACCTCTCCTCAACCTACAACAAGAGTGCCTGACCATCCAGCACCAACCAGCGTGGAGTCCTGTAGCTCAGTGATTGGAGCACTCGCCTCGCAAGCGAGAGGACCTGGGTTCGATTCCCGGGTAGAGCAAAACTTAAGGCAGGTTTCCCTACTCCACGCTCCTGTTTACCAGCAGTAAGTAGGAATGGTTGTTCATTGGTAACACTTAAGAAAAGTGTGGTCACTCAATCCAAGACTGTTTGTGGGACACTCTCTGCTGTG